CATCTGTTATCTTTTTAGTTAAGGGTTGGATTCCTTCTCGAGTAGTCCAACTGTCTAGATACTCCAGTTCTTCCTTTCGAGGAAGGCCTTGGTAGTGTTGATTTCAACCCCGACTTTTTGAAGTCTTTGGAAAAGGTCGTCTAACTATTCAACGCGATCCGCCAGATCGACGTCAGTTAGGATGAGTTGATCATCAATGTATGCACGGACATTTTCTAAGTCATGCATGCGTGTTTTCATCTTCTTTTGGAAGATGTCGGGACTATTACATAGGCCCATTGGCAACCTCTGGTTCTCGTGCTTTCCCCTCGGGAGTGCAATGGTACAGTGTTGGTTCGAGTGAGGTGACAGCTCGATGTGGTAGTGTCCCGTGTTCAGGTCTAGACTAGTAGCGCACTTGAATCCATTTGGGTTCAAGAGCATGTCCTGTATATTTGGGATAGGATAAGGCTTCCGCTTGATCCTTTTGTTCGGTTCCCGAAAATCAGAGATGAATCGTACAGATCCCTCTTTCTTGGGAATGATAAAAGTTGGTGCCGCCCACTTGGAACGATTCACCTTCTTGAGTACTCCTGCCTCGTAGAGATGTTCAACCTCCTTCTTAAGAGTGTTGGTATGGACCCGTGGAATAGGATAAGCTCTGGCATGATAGGGTTTAGCGTCGGGACGAAGTTCTACTTCGTAGTCGTCCATTCGCAACTCTCCCAAAGTATCCTCGACTGGGTCGAAGCACTTGGTTGAAAAGGCATGAGGCAGTTCTTGCTCTTCCTTATTTAACTGGTTTCGACTCTGGCACATCTGCCTTAAGTCTATTTGTTCGTATATCGTGTCAAGAATCTTCTTGAGACTATCTGCATTGTCGCGGACAGCTGCAGGATCGGGAAAGGAGAAGTTCTCCTTTCTATTGGCATCGCCATCTTTCGCAGGGAAAAATACGCTGTTCCACCCCAATGACATGGTAGTGAAATCAAACTTGATTCTTAGGTCGAAGAGAGTGTCTTGACCTATGATCATGTCTTGCGCCCCCAAGTTCTTGGTGACGTGTAAATTCCATTCGATAATTCCATTATCGTGGAACTCAGGAATCACGAGTGTGCCCTTACACTTCGTGCGGGGTTTTAATTCCTTCATAGAAGCAGTCCGTAATGTTTGGACGCCCCCATGATTCTTCATGAGTAAACTCTTAGCATGAGTTTGAGTAATTAAAGTTCCGGATGCTCCTGTATCCAGTAAGCAACAGAGTGTAACGGGTTTTTGTTTCCCTTTCTCTCGTCTGTTAAATCTAACATAGACGATAGTTTCGAGGTCTCTTGTCTTGCGACGTTGATGAGTTGATTGGCCATGGACGAAGTTAACGATGCTGAACAGATCGTCAGTGTCTAGTTGAGTAGTTGCTAGGCAATTATCTAATTTGCCGTAGACTTCATTAGTTGCAAACAAATCTTGTTTACTATTTAGTGAGATATCTTCATCACTTAGGTATGAGAAATCGGAACATGGTTCCGTTGAATCATCATCCTGGCCTAATCCTCAGACGGAGATCTCTCCATCCGAATGATTGAAGTCGAATTCGGCAAGCGCCTTGTCAACAGCAGCCATTTTCTTGTCCATCATGTTGATGGATCCAACAGAGGAGTCGTCCTCGTTGTCGGAGTTGTCTGACTTGCGCTTGGCAACATGGTTGAGTTTTTGACTTGCGCTTGGCAACATGGTTGCATTCGCTTTTCTTCTTGCGATCAGCCTTGACCGCAGCGTTGGAAACTTTCTTCATGAGGACAGAGAGTTCCTTCTTGGTGTAGGTCTTGGCGTCGTCGGACTTGCGTTTCCAAGTCTTGTTCTTGTTGTACGCTGGCTTGTTATCGTTGTCAGACGAGGACTGAGACTTGGCCTTGAGCTTCTTCAGAGTCATGCAGTCAGCAGTGTTGTGAGTGCTGGACTCGTGGTAGTCGCACCATTTTTCTTCGTTCTTGGAAGAGTGGTCGTTGTTGCGAGTAGACTTGTACTTCTTGCTGTTGTTCTTCTTCGAAGGAGCTTGCTTGGTATCACCGCCCTTGTCAAAGTCTTCGGAGGATTCCATGCGTTCGCAGAATCCAATGGTTTCCGATAGGAGCTGAGAAAGGATCGAAGTCGTTTCGTCCATCTTCTTCATCCACGAGCGTGGAATTCCATGACAAACAATGTCAATGACTTCGTCATGGTTCAACGTTTGGTTGGGTCCAAAAGGTGGTAGACGAGGAAGTTCATCGGGTTCATCGAATGAGGTTGTTGACATAAGCCGAGTAGACATATCAGCAGGCTTACGCATCTTGCGGCGCATGAAGCGGTTCTGCTTTTCAAGAGCCTGTAGGGACAGACCGCTTCGATCACAGGCATTTATGCAAACGTAATGTCAGCATCGTCTCAAAGCAGGCTGAGCTGCTCCGTTCCAGGCAGCCTGGAAACGTGCTTGGAAAGTGGCTTCGTCTTCACCGCCACGATGTCGCGTGGAGGAATGCCGTGACTGCAATCTGGCGCAAGGCATTCCAACGTACTTCACGGTGGCCTGCACAGCTAGATCGTAACTGCTCTTTGCAGAGCTAGAAGTCATCTCCTTGGAGGTTATGTTTGTCGGTAGGCGTAGCAATGGCGAGCCCAACGAAGACTTCTCCATGCGTCCAGCCACTTGATGGTCTGACGTGGAGTCTCAGATCCATTTATGAATTGGACCTTGAAGGTGTACTTGGCGCTGTTAGCATCTGCGGAAGTGCGAAGTTTGTAGGTGGTAGAGCGAGAATCGTCGATTTCGCATTCATCGTCGAGGTCGATGAGAGGAAGGATTGGTTTGTCGCGCAGCTTAGACTCGAAGCTGGTGTATGCGTCTTTGGCAATCTTCATGGTGAGGAATAGGTTGAGGGTAGCTGAAAGCTATTGTGTTTGTTAACAAAATGCACTACGCCAAAAGCTAGTATAAAGATCTTTCGAGTGTTTTGAGTTTGAGAGAATGAAAGTTATGAGAGGATTAGAAAGCTATGAAAACTAATCAACGAGAGAGATCCACAATCAAAGGATCGTAGATCTGAACTCCCGCGGGAGACTGTAGAGTGTGATAGAGTAGGTTGCGGTAGCAATCCTACTCACTCCACGATCCAAAAACGGAACGCGTGGAAGATTCGTCTAGCATTTATCTAGTAGCGTGGAAGAACTCCACGCTGGCTAAATATCTAGAGCGATGTTTCATCATCAACCTAGTATGACTAGAGCGGTCATTGAGAACCCTGTCTCAATGACTATTCACGAGAGACTCAGTCATGAGTCGAACTCAAACCCTATGTAGGATCGAGTAGCGAATAAGGCTAAGAGCCGTGTATTGCACAAACCAAGAGACCACAATACTGCACCGCCACCTTACACAAATGATGGAACCACTCCCTTCGGCAATCCAACAACTCTCAATCCTGAAGTGGCTGTTGGTGCATTGGCCCTTGCTGCTGCTACTGGAAACCTCACACATGCTGTTGCCAATGCAGCATTTCGAGTTGCACTGACACAGGTGCCAGCAGTAGCTCCACCAAGGCCCAACCAAAGAATGGTGTTCAGGAGCAGGAAATATTGCTCCACATGTGGATTTCAAAAGAGCGACCATGTTACTTCTGCTGAAGGTGTGGCCAAGAACTGCAAGAGAGACTACTGTGGGAGGTGCATGGAGAGGAAACAGTTTCATGGTGCTAATGATGGCTTTGGTCCTACTTGCACAAAAGATCATGTACATGATCGCCAAGTCATTACTGTGGCTGATTGGTACTCTGTTGGAACTTGTAAGTTTTTCACAGCTATTGTTACCTTGACACTACTTGGATAACAAACACTAACAATGACTTTCTCCTCTCTCAATTTTCAGAGCTAGTGATGGAGTCAGGTCCATCCATGTTGGGAGGGTAAGGAACAATTCCCCTTGTCTGAATGTAGGTAATGATGTCACTAACAAAATCCTCACTCATCAGTGTCATCACCCTAAAGGAGATTATGGGCATTGGAAAGGTCCTGTCAAATCAATCAGACCAGTAAGTCAACACTGCATCATGGCCAAGAGAGTCATACTCATAAGTTGCATGGGAACTGCTTCTAACTCTCCAGTAAATGCATTGCTTCCACATCTTTTCCTTGCTTGTAGGCTGATCCTCTTCAACCATGGTGGCTACTATCATGTCAAGAACAATACTGTACCACTCAATATTATGGTAATATCCCCAACACTCCATGCTATCAAGAATGAAGCTCATATCAGGAGTCATGGGCTTGGCACTTCCACTCATAATGAGTTGTTCCAAGCTGGGAGTGTCAAAGCTACTCACTGCCACACATTTGAAGGACCTGAAACTGGGATGCTGGACCTCTCCTGCTTCCAGCAAAATATACCTGCACTCAAAGCTGTATCTGGCAGCCCTTAACTCATTGTAGGGGTAGAAACTCTTATCTAGCAACCACTTTGAAAAGACTTGACTAGTGTTGATCCTCATAGTTTTGTTGTTGTAATGATAGATTCAACTGTTGATTCCCAATGTCGCGAACCTCCACGGAAAGATACGTCTTCGAAAATGTGAGACCACGACTTTGGGAGAGGTACGGTGCACCTCAGCGAATAAGTCTTTGATGTTCCGCAAGACTCCAACGGTCATACGAAGAGTTAGGCGACAAATTTGAGTTACTGTGACGAGTTGTACTGACGTTCATTTTACTTAGAGAATATAAAAATTTCAGTACTAGCCTACAAGACCCGTACTCTCTCACGCCGCTTTTCGACATGCAACTCTTATCAACGTACATTTGGCTTGCTTTACTTAATTACTTAAGCGCAGCTCAGCTTTCTACAAACCCACCGCCATGACCAAGAAACACCTGTAACAAAAGTCTTGAACCTGCTACCAGTAGCTAGTTTCGAGTCAAGATTGACGCTTGTAGCCTGCCGTTCTTCGGGCAACCTAAGGAGTCAACTCACCCGTACTACTGGTAAGCCGTCACTTTCAAGCTGGATGACAGATTTTTTCGTAGCAACATTCAGTGCAGCATCCCTCTGGGCAAGATAGTTTTATAGCCAAAGGCCCAGCACCCATCCCATCACAGTCCGCCCTGATCTCTATGCCATCTTTGCTGTTGTTGTGAGAGTGAGCAGTGTCACACATGGCCTGGGGGATTTTTCCAGAAACTCCCGGGTTTGTACTGATGTCAAACTGGTACAGACCTGTCAATGCTGATACCTCCTCTGGCAAAAGCCCCAAGAAATCATTGCTTGACACATTAAGCTTGGAAAGACTAGTCAGCAGTCCAATTTCTGTACTGATGGTGCTACCAAGAGCATTGCCACTCAGATTGAGTTCCTGCAAGGCTGTCAATCTGTAGAGCTCAGATGGTATTGGCCCTGTGAGTTGGTTGCCGGCCAAATTGAGGACCCTCAACTTGGGGAGAAGAGCCAACTCTGTTGGCAGTGGCCCATTCAAGCTGTTGGTGGTCATTGTCAAGCCAATCACTTGACTGCTAGTTTCACCGCAGACTATTCCACCCCACTGGCATTCATGGCTTGCTGGATCGAGCCAACTTCTGCCAAGAAAGGCACTATCGTTGTCATAGCACAGATCACCATTATCGCCATAGCATCGTCGCCAAAGCTGTTCCTGAGAAGTTTGGTACAAGAAGACAGCCAAAATGTACCTTTGCACGAAGTTGTCATACAGGGGCAGCAGTGCGGAGTCTCTCACACTCCAATCCAATGCCTGATAGCGCACTGCTGCTTTGTCATCGTCCTTGGGATTAAAATAATCCTCTCCAAACACATTGGAGATTGTCATTTGCAACTCAAAATAGTGGAAAGAGGTAGGAGCCATTGTAGGTGTATCTGTTCCTTGGGCACCGCACAAACCACTTCCACAAACACCACTAACTGTGGCTACCACAGCAACCAGACAAAGAAGGAGAAGGAACAGCTTCTTCCTACTATCAAATAGGTTTGTTTCTGGATTTGTGTGAGAAGCTTCTTGATTGTCATTGTGGTTTGGAGCTGCAACTTGAACCGTAGCAGTCAATAGGACTTCTCTGGAAGCTGGATCATCAGTAACTGTATTTTCAGCACTCAATGGCGTTTCTCTTCGATGGTTTTCTTCCATGGGATCATTGTTAGTGGAAACAGGGCTGGCAAGTCCGGGTCGGCCGGGTTCCAGAAAAGCTCCGGGAAGTCCTGAATTTATTGATTCGTCAGTTGCCATGAGATGAATATTAGTGGAATCATGGCCAGCAAGTCTGGGTCGGCCGGGTTCCGCAAAAGCTCCGGGAAGTGCCGACCAGGAGCTGATTGATGCGCCAATTGCCCTACTTGTCTTAGAGGCCAGCTTGTCTTCATTTGTTGCGTCCTCTGACAGAAGCATATTTTCTGGAACCTCCTGGGGCTTGTTGATACTATCAATGTCTCGCTTTTCTGCTGTGTTTGAATTGGCGATTTGGTGCTGCTGGCTGTCAGACTCTGCATGCATCTTTTTGGCCTCCTTTGTGATTGAGCTATTGTTGGTCAAACACATGTTGGCTTCCGATTTCCCACCGTCAGTAGAAACATGAATTGCCTTTTCTCCAGCAGAAACTGACGAAAATTTGGAGGTGCCATCGTCTTCCATTTCTTCTGTCAGAACCTCCATTTGAGAGTGTGGCTTTCTAGTGTGCAACTGCTGTTGGCGAGGATGAATAATATTTCCAGGAGCAGCGATCCCGTCACTAGGTGCTGGTGCTGTTGATGTCAACTCATTTTGATGGAAGGGGTCCTCAACAGTCTCGTCATCTGGGACATTGTACAAGGAAGGATAAACCACGTTTTGATACTCTACAGTATGCAAATCAGTAACATTGGAAACGAGTGTTTGGTCGTCTTGCCCAAACTGCAGTGAGTCTGGATAGACCACATGTGCATCAGCAGAAGCTGGATCATGCTCTTGGTAGTGTTGTTGCTGTTCCAGTTCTTGAGCTGCTGCAAAGTCATGGAGGTCATTGTCTGTGAACGGCTGATCAGGGTAGTCTCCAGGGGGGGGGAGTACTGCTCGTCACAGCCGTATCTGTCATCAATGGGTTGGTGGTTGTATCGATACCTTTCTTCTTCTCTTCCTGACTCTTGGCCGTCATGGCTTTCATCGCAACCATTCATCACTTCGACGCGTCGGAGCGATGGTTTTATGCTTGGGTGGCAGAACTGCTGTTCTTTCGAGGTTTGCGCATAGAAGGTTTACGCCTACCGGTACCACGTGTCCTTCGGAAAGGCTCGCAGCTTTCATCGCAAGATTCAATGGGAGTGAATTACAGCTCTGCTGGGTTTCGATCAAGAAGAGACAGCAAACTCGCAAACTCCGTGGTTGATGGCCACAGGGTCCAGGGTGACACCCTCCAAGGATACTTTATCTAGCTCTTTTACTACATGTATGCCTACTGATGATGAGGGAAGCATGGACTGCTGGCTCCATTATGAGCATTGGATCGATACCGAGAAAGTTCTGCTTTCTATGGGCCATCTTCATTGTTCCCCGAGACTGTGCCAACGGTTGGCTGTTACCGATTGTACCACAGAGACATCATTCTACTAGAGTGACTCGTCGTCCATTTCTTCTCCCCACTTTATCGGCAACCAATCTTTCCATCACTGGTGCATCCAGAGAATACAGTCAATCGGAAAAGCAGTATTATGATGCCGATCAGGATGAAATATTGGTGGCCAACAATGAGACATTGCCAATGGGATCACGAGAAGGATTTGCCGTCGTCCATCACTTTGCTTTTGATCCCACACAAGCAGAATGGGATGCACTAATAGTGACGCCACAACAACAAGAACAACCAGAAGGATCTGCAGCATTGCCAGCCAAGCATATCACTCGACTGAACTTGACACCCGACAATGTCACTCTGCCTGTAGCACTCATGATGATGGATCCAATCAAGTTCCCAACCATTTCCAGAGCGCGCAAATTTTGTCGCCATGGACGCATACTTTTGCACAGAGGACCCTTGGAGGAAACTACGGATGATGACAGTAGTCAGCCACCTGTTTTCCTTCCGGATCGTGTGTCCATGGGCAAGGTGGGAGATCGTGTTCTGCGAGGAGATGTCATTGGACGACAAGTGGCCGTTGGATCTGGCTACTTTTCGGCAAAGCAGCAAAAGAAGGCTCCTCCCTTTGATCTACCTGTTGTCTTTGAAGACGACCACGTAGCACTGGTCAATAAACCTGCAGGTGTTGTGGTGTATTCACCCAAGAATGCAGGACAAGGGCTCTTGACCGTGAAATCAGCCTTGCCACACGCCCTGCAACCACCCAGACAGGGGACCTTGTCCGCACTGAAACGACCCAAGTCGGTCCATCGACTCGACAAACCCACATCGGGGATACTCGTGGTGGGGAAAACATTACCCGCCATGGATCATTTGTCTCGACAATTTCGCGATAGATTACTACAAAAGACCTACACGGCCATTGTCAATGGAGTTCCCCAACTCAATAATGATCATGCCACTCCAGACGAACAACAATCATCCATTAGTACTGACAAGAACCCGTGGCAATGGATTGATTATCCCTTAGAGGGCAAGCAGGCAGTCACTGCCTGGAGGATTGTGAGGCAAGTCCCATCGATACGAGCGAGAGACAATGTCTTGACAATGGTAGAAGTCATGCCCAAAACGGGCCGGTATCATCAAATACGAAGGCATATGGCGTGGGTTTGTGAACGTCCCTTGGTGGGAGACAAGGAATATGATGGAAATCATCCGGATGCCGTCAAGTTGCGCGGGCGGGGGCTATTCTTGTGCTCGAATCAAATAACGATCGAACATCCCTTTTACAACACCCGAGCAGGACGGCAAGTCTGGGAGTCTCTTGCCGACACAGACAAACCAAGCGAACTCTGGGTTCGACCAGAGGATGACATGGTCATGTTGACAGCCTCCATTACTCTGCCCCAAAAGTTCCACAGTCTGATGGATCGATCAGAAGCTGTGTACAACAAGTATGCTGCCAGCATGGGTCTACCTGTAGCACTAGAGGAGAAGCTATAAGGTACCCAACTAAATGCCAAGTAGTTCTCGCTGTCTCTAATAATCAACTACGATTACTGTGCTGGCTGAGTCGAGTCCTACACGGAATGACATTCACATGTGTTCGTTTCTAATAGTTGGGAAATGATTTGTCCACTTGCTTCCTCCAAGCTTCTAATCCACCCTTGATGTTTTTGATGGTTGGCTTGTTACTAGGATCATTCTGTTTCGTCACATAGTCATTCAAGAGCTTTGTGGCTTCTACGGACAAGACACCTCGACGACAATAACAATAGACTGGTTTGGTCCATCCCTCTGAAAGCTTCGCTACACGGTCCAGGTTTTCCTCCAAGCTCGCGAGTGGAATATTGATGGCACGGTCATTCAGAGCACAGAGATCGTACTGTTCCTTGACTCGTACATCCAACAAGACATGCTGTTGTTGCTGTTGCCGTTGCTGTTGCAGATCATGGTAATCCGTACACGAAATCTGGTATTCTGGTTCGAGCGGAGCTGGAGTGTACATGTCACAGCTGGCAGGTCCTCGTGCAGCTTGCAAATCTTGGGCACTGTCTGCCATGGATTTGATTGTGGCGTTTTCTCCGCTACAAACAGGGCATGCTGTGGATTGCTTTTTGGGTTTTTTGAGAGTCATGAAAGAACACTGCAAGGAATCGTACATGAGCATTCGTTCATTCATGGAGTTTCTGAGTAAAAAGAAAACGAGGTCAAAACAGTTGTGGAAAGCATCAGTATAGCATGACTTCAGCACTGAATAAAACCCCCAACAACATAGCTTTTTCTTACCCCGTATCGGTTAGCACTTTCAAAACCTCCAAGGATTGCAATACCCCAATCAAGCCCGGGACGGGTCCCAAAACTCCATTGTCACTACAGGATTTTGCACCTGCCGTGATGCTTGGTTTGGGATACAAACATCGATAACAGGGTCCATTTTTCCAGTTGTAGACAGAGAGCTGTCCTTCCGTGCCAATGGCACTTCCCGAAATCAATGGTTTTCCGGCCAACAC